GTAGGAATGCCGGTGATATCTTTGACGGTTCCGGATCTAAGCTGCCGGCCTAAATACTGTATAGCGAAACCGGAAGCTCGGCCGGACCCCAGCCCTACCACCATCCCGTTCTCCACAAATGAATCCACCTTTTCAACACAAGAATCAAGTTTCACTATTCCAATGTGTAGGATTAAAATCAATTTTCATCATTTGTAGAAAATTCACAGCAATAAGATGCCATTTACTTCATCCTCTTCGTGAAATTGAACCAGAACAATTGCTGTCATTACTCGAAACAGATCCATTTTGGGCTTGAAAACGTTATTCTTCAAAACCACGAACCAAAATCGTGCGAATTGATTGTGAATTTCGAAATGCAAAAATGTAATTGAAAAACAAAAAACAACGTATAAAAGAGAAATTACTGTGAATTTGGCGGCCTGGAGGAGAAGGGTAGAGTCGTCGGAGAGCCTCGATCGGACGGTCATATGAAGCGCATTGTAAATACTGCTTTTCCGATTTGAGTGACAGCTCGGACTGAAACTCGAGAGCGGAAATATTGTTGACGATGATGATAAAGCCATGATTTTATAGCCAGTTTTTCTTATTAAGTGTTTGAATGGTTGTATATATACGTACCGCAGCTCGTGAAAAACTACACAAGTGGATTGTGGATAAGGTGTGGCTATCTCATTACGACGTCGTTAAGCATTTTTCAAACAAAAAACTGAACTGAACTGTATTGAGTTGTGGGCTTGGTATTCGTGCAAGCTGTCATGGTCCAACAATAAAGAAGGCCCACAGCTTGGTTTTCAACCCAAACTACACATTTATCCTTTAGGACCCAGCCCAGAGAAACAATGTGCAAATGATGGATAGGCCATTAAAGATATCCATCCTATAAGGGAAAAAAAAAGCTTAGAAAAAAATGTCGAATGCAAAAGCAAAAGGCCATACAAACATAATGATAATATTAATAATATCTAGAAAAAAATAATAAAATAAGAAGAAAATAAAGTAGGAAAAGAGCAAAGAATATTGAGTGCTGTTGGCAGCCCACACACAGAGCAGAGTCTTAGCAAATGTGCTTTGCTATAAAAGAAAAAAAAAATATCAATACAAAAGAAGAGAAAAGTGAAGTTAGTGATTGTGAGAATCATGTTCTCTTCACTTTCTTTAGTCTGACAGACATCATCCACCCAAATTTAGGGCATCCAAAGTCTCTCCTTAAACACAAGTTTGTATAACAAATTGATTCGTTATACTTTTTCTTTTTCCTTATAAACATGCATGTATATACTATGAAATGTCATAATTTTGTTAATATTGTTTCTCATAATATGACATTTCAATTTGAATGTATACATATTCATTGAAATAGTACAATTATCTAATAATTATGTTAGTATGCATATTCAAAATTACAACTGTCTAACAGTTATGTCTAATAAATTGTTCGCTAAAATAAGATTTGATATGATAATTGGATAAACTTCTTGATTTTTCATCATAATTAAAATGCCCTTTTGTGGGCAAGCACAACACAATAAATCATTATAAATCCACACACGAGATATACTCAAGTTATGGTATCCTCTTATTCCATATGATTCTCATTCTTTTAACACTTCATAATTCAACATTAAGCACCATTCAGAATAGAGCTCTCGAGTTCGAATAGACGTTTTATTGTATGAAAACATGGAAAAGTATACAATAATTGTGTATTTGCAATTAGTCATGTATTGAATTGTTCAAAATTTTGTACCCAGTAGTGAGATTTTAGGTCAAACAGCTTTAATTGCTTCAATATGGTTTTGCCATCATTCTTTATAATATTAACAGCATATCATTTTAGTACACAAAAAAGACACGCACTACTATTTTGCACTCTATAGCATTATTATTTAAGGTTTTCAAGTTGACTAACGACAATAAACTTTTAAATTGAACTGTCATAGTAGATAAATTGAAATGTCATAGTAGATAAAAATATAATATTTTATAGTATAAGTATTTTATTATGTTGGAAGAATATGATCTGTTGATTTGACTAATGTTAGACACTTTCCCAAAAGAATTTACTGACTTCACATTAAAAAAGAGCTGAGTGTAGTGATATATGTTCACGGGTATATGCAAGTTTCTTTCTAAAAGTGCCAGCTTATGAATTATCCCAACAATATAAAAACAAAAGAGAATTCGAACGTTGGGGTTTGTCCCAGCTGGCCTACCACAAAATCTAACTCCAAAAATGAAAAATGTCTTACACATCATTTAATTTATTTATCCACAAATAAAATACCAATTGTGAGCCTTTGGAACATAAATTATGGGTCACATATTCATATTACAAAGTAAATTTTATCATCCAGAACTTCATTAGTAGCTAATATTTAACCTTATGAATTGTTGTTAATTATAGTATAAAATTTCAGGGTTTATCCAGCGTGCCTCATATTTAGTTAGCCTCAAGAACGAAAAATCTTGCCATTGGTTCTGATCGGAACTTCATTTTCTCGAATTTTTACGTTACTGTGACCTAGCAGTAATTAGAGTTAAACGAAAAATACAATTATTTAGTTAAAAAGCCGAATCCAGTCGTTAAGGTTGAAAAATAAAAATTTTTATATAAATTTTTTAAAACTCTGAATTGATAATTGAGCTTGATTGGGCATAGATCAAGATTCAAAGTCTCTACCCAAATTTCGAGCATACAAAATTCGAGCTCGTAAAATGAATAAAAACCCTTTTTGACACACCCGTTGATAATTTGTGTGGTTTTTTTCACTCTGAACAAAAAAGAGCTTCAAAATGCACGCCAGCCAAGAAAGTTATACCGATTCATTTTTCGACCTTTCTTCGCAAATTATTACTTCAATTTTTTGTTTGACAACAATTATTACTTCAATTTATTATCTCATGTGTCTCTCTAATAGAAAAAAAAAAACTATAAACAAATTTACACAGAAAGGAGAACTTAATTTATTCTGGAAAGACTTTTGTCTCGCTCTTGGCCTTAGTGCACTCTCCTTTTTCTCCTGTGCAAGTTATGATGCAAAGATGAAAAAGAATGGTTTTTTGAGCGATTGAGCTAAATGGGGCTTATGGAGTTTCTCTTTACAGCTGAGTGTGGTTAGGGGTAAATGGTTCCTTGCTTTGTAGGTTTCCACTACTGGGCTCGGTAGCGTCTTGTACTTTTGGAATAAAGAATCGTACCTCCTCATTCGAGGAGCTGAAAAGGAGCAAGCTTTGTGGTGGGAGGAGAAATGGGTGGTTGTACTTCGTGAAAAAATCTTTGCACCTTGTCATTCAAGAAAGACTTTACATCTCGCTCTTTTTTTCTTTTTGGTGGGGGTTTAGGACAAATAGCGAAAAAAAAAGAAGCTGTTCTTGCAAACCTCAAATGGAGGCCCGGTGGGGAACTGGATTCATAGGGATAGTGCTCTGTTTGGTTGTGTTTGTTAGGTTCAGTTATGGCCAGGAAAATGGAGGTAATGTTACTGGTGTGTATATTGTGACTCTCAAACAGGCCCCAACTTCTCATTGCCATGGTGAACTCAGAGTTCAAAAGGGGAAGCATTTAAAGAGCAATGGGTCTGAGAGAATGAATAGATTAGATAAACCAAGGTAAGATTTTGATATTCATTTCTAGTTTATCTGAAATTGGTATTGTTTACTGTGTAATTGACAAGCGTGAGTGATTTGTAATTTTGTCTGGTTTGGTCTTCTTTTCCAGTCTTAATTATGTTTTTTTCCAAATTCATGCCAATCTCAAGTATAAATTGATTTCTTGTTTTTTTTTTTTTTCCTNCTCCCTTTCTGTGTATATGTTAATGTCAGTAATTAGTTTGTAGAGATTGATCTTCTTTTGGCTGTGAACAATTATGGACAAAATGACTGTTAAGTTTGTTTTATCAATACCTTCATTTATTATTAGTTTAACAGTTAACACATCCCATTTGGCTTAATAAAACCAGCAATATATCGAGGACCGATTGGCACCACAGATCATATACCGAACGCATTCACAATTCCTTACTAAGAAAAGTTCTACGAGGCGAAAAGTATATAAAGCTTTACAGCTACCATTATCTAATCAATGGATTTGCCGCGCTCGTCACCCCACAGCAGGTTAGTTAGTTAATCCTCAGCAAGTACTAAACTTTTTTCTTACAGAAAGCATTATTTCGCAAGTTTCGTTCTTTTTTTCATGTGTGAGTGTTTAATTAATATACAATGATGATCTTAATAAAGGCCGAAAGGCTTTCTAGGCGAGGAGAAGTTTCGAACGTGGTTTTGGATTACTCGGTTCGAACAGCCACTACTCACACGCCACAGTTTCTTGGTCTGCCACAAGGCGCGTGGGCCCAAGAAGGCGGGTTCGAAAATGCGGGTGAAGGAATAGTGATCGGCTTTATTGACACGGGAATTGATCCCACGCACTTCAGCTTCTCGGATAAAACCCCCGAAAGAGACTACCCTATTCCTGATCATTTTACGGGCATTTGTGAAGTCACGAGGGACTTTCCTTCTGGATCTTGCAATAGGAAGCTTGTTGGGGCCCGCCATTTTGCAGCCTCTGCAATTACTCGAGGGATATTTAATGCCACTCAGGATTTTCCTTCGCCGTTTGATGCCGATGGACATGGAACGTACGTGTTAGGGATGGATTTGATTGGTTTTTTTTTGTTAACCGTAGTTAATTTGAAAAGAAAGATGGTACGGTCAGTTGTTAGTGGGAATTTAATATTTGAATTAAAATTATATTTTGAAATAAAATAATTAAAGTATGGTTAGTTAAGATTATGTGAGTGGATGAATAATGAATGATTGGTTGATATTATTTAATTATATTGATAATAGTAAAAGTGAGTTAAAGCTGAGTTAAATTTGAGTTTTGATTGGTTTTTTTTTCCTTAGCTATTCTCCGGTTCTATGTTTAACAGGCTCGAGTTTTTACGGATCTTTTTATTTGTTCACATTGTGTGGCTGGCAACTATGTGATGTGTGTAACCTCTCTTGCAGGCACACTGCTGCAATTGCAGCTGGGAATCATGCGATTCAAGTCGAGGTAGCTGGGAATTGTTTTGGAAATGCCAGTGGGATGGCTCCTCGTGCACAGTAAGCACTACTATTATTTATTTATTATTGACATTATTTTTATTTTATGTACCGATAGTTTATTACGAACAAGCTGTGTGTGAACTTACGTTATTTTTTATTCCTAAAATAATAAAAATGTTTGATAGCATTGCTGTTTATAAGGCGTTATACAAGAGCTTTGGGGGATTTGCAGCAGATGTGGTTGCTGCTATAGATCAGGTACATTGAAAATCTTACGTAACTTCAATTTTCAGCAAATTTTCGTGTTTTTTTTTTTCATCTAAAACACAGAAAAGTTTAAATTTTTAGTAACATATGATACATCAAGTATCCAAATTGGAAAAGGCTGTAACCTTAAAAGTTTAAATACATTTATTTGCATTTATAGGCTGCACATCGACAAACTTACGTAACTTTAAGTTTCAGCAAATTTCCGTGTTTTTTTTTTCATCTAAAACACAGACAACAACGTTTAAATTTTTAATACATATAATCTACATCGAGTATCCAAATTGGAAAAAGGCTGTAACCTTAAAAGTTATTACATTTTTTGGATTTTGTAGGCTGCACGTCTACAAACTTACGTAACTTCAAGTTTCAGCAAATTTTCCATGTTTTTTTTCTTCTGAAACTCAGAAAAGTTTAAATTTTTAATACATACAATCTACATTGAGTATCAAAATTAGACGCTGTACCTTTAAAAGTTATTTACATTTTTCTGCATTTTGTAGGCTGCACAAGATGGAGTGGATATCATAAGCTTGTCGATAACTCCAAACAGGCGTCCACCTGGCATCGCCACTTTCTTCAATCCTATAGACATGGCATTACTATCTGCAGTAAAAGCTGGGATCTTTGTGGTCCAAGCAGCAGGAAATACTGGGCCATCTCCTCGAAGCATTTCATCTTTCAGCCCATGGATCTACACTGTTGGGGCTGCAGCCCATGATAGGGTCTACAGTAACTCTATAGTCCTCGGCAATAACATTACAGTTCTTGGAGTTGGACTTGCTCGTAAGCCCAAAAGTCTTTTCTTGTTAGCAAAACCTGTGATGTTAGTGTTCAATGCCTTGCGCTTTTATGTTTTAGGGTCAATTTTAAAGGCTACCTGTGAAGTTTAGCTTACTTTGCTTGGGGGGAAAAAGTATCTGGTTCCATTTTCTGCACTATAAGAATTGCACGCTCGAAAGGCGGTTTATTAGTTAGGGCGGATAACAAATACTACTTCTGACCAAGCCATGTATATAGTTCGTGTACAAAATGTATTTGCATGGAGTAAAAACCGAAACAACCCGTCAATCGAGTGGGGTGAAATATAGCCTTTTTTTGGGATTATTGAAACACGAGCATGAGCCCAATCAAACATTGTTCTTAGGGTCAATTTTGTAGCTAGATTTACCATCAGGGTCAATTTTCGTGATTAACGTTGTATTTTATCTCCAAGATCATGACTTTCTTAATGTTCACAAATTAGATTTCCTCTAATAAGTCACCTTTTTTTTTTTTTTTTTTTTTTTTTTTCTTTTTAATTTCAGCTGGGACACAAAATAATACAATGTACACTCTGATTTCTGCTATACATGCTCTGAACAACAGCACGGCTGAGGACGATATGTATGTTAATGAGTGCCAAGATTCAGGTAATTTTAATCAGAGCATGATTCAAGGGAATATCTTGATATGTAGCTACTCTGTCCGGTTTGTACTTGGGCTCTCCACCATCAAACGGGCTTTAGAAACTGCCAAGAATCTCAGTGCAGCTGGTGTGGTTTTTTGCGTGGATCCTTACGTGATCGGTTTTCAGCTCAACCCAATTCCAATGACTATCCCTGGCATTATAATCCCAACCCAAAATGATTCAAAGGTGAGTGTATATTCTTTTTTTATGAATTTCAGCAATTTGCACGACTTTCCACTTTTGAAAGACTAAGTGTAACTTCACATGGAAAAAGAAAATTCTTCAATTAGATTTTTAGTGCTGCTTCTAGAGTTTGAATTTTAAACAAATAAAACACATCTATTATTTGCTCTCGTGGGAACCCATCTTCTCTTTTATATTGTTGATTGATCTTTTAGTTCTTATGCAAACATTCTGATCTTCAAGTAGTTTTTCAGTTCTAATATTCAAGAATCCACTGCAAGCTAGATTTTTTCTTCGCAAAACCGAATCATCTCTTTTTGATGTGTTCTTCTCAGGTGTTACTCCAGTACTACAATATGACTCTTGAAATGGATAACTCCACGAAAAAAATCGTCAAATTCGGGGGAGTCGCGAGTATCACTGGCGGAATAAAAGCAAATTTCAGCAGCTCGGCTCCAAAAGTCATGTATTACTCTGCAAGAGGACCCGATCCAGAAGACAGCTCGCTGAACGATGCAGATATACTAAAACCGAATATTGTAGCTCCAGGAAATTTCATATGGGCTGCATGGAGTTCTCGTGGGACCGATTCCATTGAATTTCAAGGTATATCTTCTTATATAAAAATTTGTATATCATTGTTGCAATTTTTTTGTGCTGTGAAAGGGAAAATACATTTATTCTGTGAATTTGTTTAGGTGAGAGCTTTGCACTCATGTCTGGAACAAGCATGGCAGCTCCTCATATTGCCGGGCTTGCGGCCTTAATAAAGCAGAGATTTCCTTCTTTCGGCCCATCAGCTATTGGGTCGGCACTTTCAACGACAGCTTCTCTTTACGACAGAAATGGTGGGCCCATCATGGCCCAACGTGCTTATGCTAATCCGGATTTGAACCAATCTCCCGCCACTCCCTTTGACATGGGGAGTGGATTCGTAAATGCTACTGGGGCATTAGATCCTGGTCTCATATTCAATTCAAGTAAGTCACCGTGCATTAAGTTCTTTGTGAANCATAGTACAAAGGATATTTATGTATAAAAAGAAATACAAAAATAATTATACAAAAATAATTATATTTCACAAACTCCCCCCTCAAGAATTTACAAAGTCATAGTACAAAGGATATTTATGTATAAAAAGAAATACAAAAATAATTATATTTCAAAGACAAAGGTTGCATTTCTGCAAATTTCCCTCCAAAAAAATGCAATCTTTATCTTTCACAAACACCCCCTTAAGAATTTACAAAGTCATACTACAAAGGATATTTATATATATATAAAAAAAAATGAAAAATTATTTGTTCTTGTGCTGGTTGCAGGTTACGATGATTACATGTCCTTTTTATGTGGCATAAATGGCTCGTCTCAAGTCGTGCTGAATTACACGGACCAAAGCTGTGGTACTTACACCATGAAAGCTATTGACCTGAACTTGCCCTCCATCACCATATCTAAGCTCAACCAGTCGACTTTAGTTCAACGGACGGTGACCAATGTAGGTAAAAACGAGACCTACAATGTTAGGTGGAGTTCCCCTTATGGGGTCTCGGTTAAGGTAAGCCCGGCCCGTTTTTCCATTGCAAGTGGTGAGAATCAGATACTTAATATATCGATTAATGCAACAATCAACAGCTCGTTTGCGAGCTTTGGGAGAATCGGGGTTTTTGGGACTGGGGGCCATTTGGTCAATGTTCCCCTGTCGGTTATTGTCAAGATTTCGTACAATTCGACTGGTGGCTGATTTTTCGGTGTGTAATAGTAATAACTCTGATTTTCGGTGTAATTTATGCGTAACGTGTCCGATTTTTTGATTGATCGGTTGTAAATTGTTTTGAGAGCTGGTGAGTAGTTTGCGTGATTGGTCACACTGTCATCAGCTTCGGCTGCTCATATTAGATAGATTTGGATTTGGCTTTAAAGTTAACTGTAGTTGGGTGATGACAATTATGGGCGCCATTGTTATTATTCAAGCTTTTCTTCGTTTATCTTTTGTTCATATCTATACTTATATAATAAGAATTAACATTTATCCAAAATAGTAGGTCAAATTATGGTCAATGTCGGATTTGTATTAAATATTTTCCAAAACTGGTAAGTTTTTGTTCTTTTCACACTTCTCATTAATTATGTCCTTTTCACACTTCTCATTAATTATGTCATTTTCACACATCTAATTAATTCATTAATTACGACATAATTATCATAAATCATTCCATCTGAGCTTTTTATTGTTTAAATGTATAGCGACATCTGTTATGACCTTATCTCATTGATATTTTCATTAAGCGTCTTTATCGCGTTCTATTTTTGATAACCACTCTATATCAATAACCAGATATTTGGTTAATGATAGCACACGTCTTTATTTCAAGGAGCGGATATTCTTTGACCTTTAATTAATCTGAACTGATTGCCTTGACTTTACAATTTTCAAAAACTCTTTTTTTAAATATTTCGGCTTAAGATTCGGATTTCATTATCCAAGTCATCGGATTGTTTGAATGAAAATGAATGAAAAGAACACAAAAAACAGGTAGACTCATTCATATAACCAATCCTAAAATATTAGTTTGTTCACAAAAAAGAGACAAATCTTAGAAATCCTAAAATATTAGTTTGTTCACCAAAAATATTAGTTTGATTTTTAGGATTTGTCTCTTTTGAAAATATTAGTTTGTGATAATGAGGAGTTACCAAGTAATCAAACTCATAATGTTGTGTATAAGGAGGTTTTTAATAATATATGATTGTTACCGAACTTTTTATGATTCAATAATGTTCCTATGTATTTTAATGATTTCAATTTCGATCCTAATGCACGTGAGGTTATATTATTCTTCCAAATTTTACATCCCTTACATCGCACGGGTTACGTACTAGTTGGAATAAATATAAATTTATATATCTAGCAGTTGCAACGTTCTTATACTTTTATCTATAGCACAAGATCGAGCCTAATTGAAATAACACCGAAAAATTTGTTCCAATTGTGGATTTTTTTAACTATTGGATCAAACACCGACGTGTAGGTATGTGTGATCTAAACGTGAAAGGCTCGGTTACTGTAGAATCGAACTTCTCAAGCCAATATTGAGATAATGGAGTTGAGTTAGATTTTAGTTGATTTTTTTTTTTTTAGAAAAATTTGTATCCAAGCATACATATAGCTTCCATGAACTATATTATCAACTGTAGTTTATGTTGTACCATAATCAGCTAGGCTTGCTATTTTTCCCTAATGTTCAGGATTTTCGTGCACTATGCACATGAGATACGGTTCTAGCCATTGATTAACACTTTTATATTGGCCATCTGACTGAAGATTGTTGGAAATTTGGCCCAGTCCAATTACCTATCTCGGGCCCAAGGAAGTCTCGGTCCATTCCCGTCTGGGCTTGGATTAAGGGATTAAATCCCAACCTTACATTTCACACTACATAAACCTATCCTCACTTGTCCTAATTAAAACCTAACTCTCACTTCTCTCTCACTCTCGCTGCTGCGCCCTTTCTCGAGTGAAAAACCGATCTACCTCTCAATCTCTTTCGCTGTTCTTTGTGACCACCTTTGTGAGAGCCACCGTGAGTGTCGCCGTTGTGCTGTCGGAGTGCCGCCATTGTGCCGTCGCCGTCGCCGTCGCCTAGCTTCCCGTCGTCGGATAAAGCCCTTGCGTGGTGCTTTCCGGCGAGTCTCTGTGGAAAGGGGAGGCTTTGCGACAGAGGACCGGGTGCGTGGCTCGTGTGTGTGAGATGCAGCCCGGGGAACGGCCACACAACAAGGATGATAGGCATAGGTCATTTCTAATTTAACCCCTAAAAGTTTAAAAAATTCATTCCAAAACAAACTGGTAAAAATCTTATGTCTATCCGTGACCATATTGACAGGCTGGCTATATAGCTTGTAGATAGAATTCAAAACAAGTTTGCCACTTCTTCGGCTGTGCATTGGTGAGCCAAAGGCAAAAAATGTGCATATTTTGTAAGCTTATCTATCACCCGGCCATTACAACATCTTTGCCCTCTAATTTGGGTAAACCTTCAATGAAATTATTGTGATGTGTGACCATGCTTGCTTAGGAATTGGTAGTGGCTGTAGTAAACCAAGATAGGCACCACTGTCTGATTTGCTTCTCATGCACACTGCACACTGATTTACCCAAGTTGTAACTTCTTTTTTCATCAATGACCAAAGGAAACTCTTCTTCAACCTCATATAAGTAGCCTGAATCCTTGAATGACCCCCCATATGATGATCCATGCATAGCCTCTAGAATCTCTTGTCTCAGTTTCCCCCCTTTGCCCACTACCACTATTCCTTGGTACCTCAAAAGTCTTTCATGCAAAGAAAACTCAGGGTGGGTGTTAGGCTGCACACTGTTTGCCTTAATAATTTTTTGGCAAAATGGATCATTGTCATAAGTACTGATGACCCTCTGCACCCATAAAGGAGTGATAGTGTTAAGGTTTTGGCATTCATCTTCTTTCTCTGTTCTTCTTGATAGTGCATCTGCAACATTGTTCTCACTCTCCTTCTAATATTGGATTTCATAATTCAAACCTAGCAATTTAGTAAGCCATTTCTATTGCATAGGATTCATGGACTTTTGGTCCAGCAAATACCTTAAGGCCCGCTGATCTATTTTAATAATGAAAGCTCTCCACCTCTGAACTGCCGAGTTGGCGCGTGCGTTAGACTGATTTGGGGTTTAGGGTCACATGCCCATTTGCTTATGTATTTAAGTATGGATGATGAAAGCAAAGGAATGATATATGTCATTATCTCAACAACTTTCTCTCTCCTGCTCTTTCTCTCTCTTCACGATTTTCATCTCCTTCCTCATTTCTTCTACTCAATTGCAGAACATTATTGTCTAAATAATACAGAAAAATCATAAAAATATTACAACCCACTACAATTTCCCTTTTCTTTCTCTATTTTCTTAAAAAATAATGTTGTTTTAGTTCACAGATATGATCTTTAATTGTGCAGTGATGATGGGCTTTGAGATTTGGAGGTGTTCATTATTGCTTCTCCTGTTTATGTTGTTAATCTATTTCCTGTTTCAGTAATTTCGGTATAAAACCGAAACCGAACCGAGTTTTTGGTTACCGAAAATTCGGTAACCGACTACAAGTCGGTTCGGTTTCGGTTTACATTTTAGTGTTACCGAAACTTTCGGTTAGGTATCGGTAATCCCTTATCGGTTCGGTTACCGAACCAAACCCTCCCCTAGTTAGAACTGTGTGCTCAATTTATTTCAATGGAATGTGGATTTTTTAAGTGTTGAAATTTGGTCCACCCCAATTACCTATCTCACCCGTGGACGTCTCAGCCCACCTGGCGGTTTAATTAGAGCCGTTGGATGAAGGGATTAAATCTCAACCCTCCACTACACCTCTATTTACCCTATCTCTATCTCTCAGCCTACCACAACACAGAACTCACTTCTCTGTCTCTCACATGCTGCGCCCCATTTCTCTCCCTCTCTGTGAGACAGAACCCCAATTGATTTCTTGTCCTCTCCTTTTGTTCTTCGTGACCTTTGGAGTGTGTGAGAGGTGAGTGTTACCGTGAGAGCCGTCGTGTGAGCCACCGGAGTGCCGCCGTTGTCGCCTCATTCTCTCGTCGGTCACAGGACCTTCGTGGTGCCTCGGGTGATTCCGTGCGGAGGAGGGTGACTCCGTGTGCGGAGGAGAGTGCCTGGGGGTGCGGGCTGAGGAACCGGGCCCGTGGGTAAGGTGCAGCCGGGGGTGCGGGCTGAGGAACCGGGGTCGCCGTTGCCGAGCCGAAACTGAGCCGAGGGTGCTGGGCCGAGGGCTATCTGAGCCGGGAGACGTCGTGTCTTCCATTCTCCGGCAGCGAACGATTTCATTCCTTCTCTTTTATTCCCGTTTCGTTTATTTCCTTTTTCGAGCATTTTACTTTGTGTTTTATCCGTTTTCATTATTATTGTTACTAAGACATAATCATGTGTTTGGTTTCAGTTGAAACGGGCCCGGAAGAGTGTACGTGGATCAGCCCGGTACTGAAAGAGGACTGTCCGGGTGGCCTGTAGACGAGCAGCGCCTCTGTCGGGCTTGAAAGGGCTGCGAGCGGGTCGGTCGAGCTCAAACAAAGCTTCTGCTATCAATGACAACATTAAGGCATCAATTTCTAAGTATATTTCTTTTTGTGATACAAAGATGTGTGGATTTCGTCTTATTTTCGTTGTTTGCATCCATTTGCAGTGATAACATATAACCCTTTTCACTGAAACATGAGTCTTGTCATGGAGAGTTATTGAGTAAACGACAGAGAACTGCACATATATTTGCAACCTCATTTGTCACCTCATGTGTCGCATCATCCTCCCTTTGTTGAAGGAGTGTATCTGAAGGTAAATCTTATCTCGAGTCTTGACAGTGTTGATTTGAATTGTCGGTGATCAAATCATATTTTTGCTTTGTATAATTATATATGTATATGCGTAATTAATGATAGATATTGTGAATTGTGTATGTTCATTATTAGTTGTCTTATAGATGGAGGATTTTTTTATTATTATTATTCTTGGTGAAGCGGCTCAATTGATTTGCGGTAAGCAGCATTACTAACTATTTTAGTTGTGTAGGTATGTTTTAATTTTAGTACCTATTTTAACTAGTTTATATATTTTTTGATGCACATATTGATTAATTATAGAGTTTATAGCGTACTGAATTTTTATTTGATTTGTCGACTAGTTTGGGACCGATTGTTCTTGCGTGTTCGTAATAATTCAACTAGTATTAAAAGTTAAAATCATTTTTATTAATTTGAATGTATTTTTTTAAAAAAAAATACACATGTCGGCCCAATATTTTTTTTTTAAAAAAAAGCCCACCTGGCCAATGGTGTACCTTCTCAAATTCTCCTCCTTTTCTGCTCAATTTTCACGCAGCCTCCATATTTGCTTTGAACCGGTGGCCCAACATCTGCATATCACACTCTCAAATTTTTACCCTAATTCACTCTTTTTCTTCCAATTTTGTATTTCTCGTCT